AGTTTATTATTATTACAAGATTGTGACGTAGAGGCTACTGCTTTTGGCAACCCAATTCTATGCTGTATATTTAACGTTGAATTCAAATATCAACGACTCACTTTAGCTAGTATACTTGTGAAATATAAGTAAACTCACTAAACATATATAGAAATTATATAAGCATGAAATAGAGGGTCCATAGCTAATTTCTTTTTATACACAAATCTCTATATTCAATCATAGTGTCAAAAACAATAAACTCAAATTACAATCGGATAGTGTTATCAAGTTCTTCCGCTTCTTGACGTTTCGACTGACCCCTTCTCATCCATTACCTGCAAAAACATTGAAAACAACAAGGTGAGCACTAATGGCTCTGTAAGTAAACCCACTATGCTACTCTTCTACCTTCGTTGCTCGTATTCTGAATTTCTTTCCTTACATCAAACTTCTCTTTTCTTCTCTACTCTTTCTAACACTCTAGGTTCTCGCTTACTCAGGATAGTGCGAATGGTATCATGCATATACACAAATACATAGGATATGCATTTTCTTTTCTGTTTCTGTGTTTCTTTTTCTGTGTTTCTTTCTTTTATATTTCTCTTCTTTCTTTCTTTCTACTCTTTCTTTCTTTCTATTCTTTTCTTACCGATCGGACTCGGTTGAGGCATAGATTCGGAACTCTGGGCATGTGAGTGTATTTCAAATTCTTTTTAGGTACAGTCCTCATCCACATACACTTCTAACGGACTGTACAAATTCTTCTTTCTTATTCTGAGGCCGCTCACTAAAGGCAGTGTGCATGTGGGGCTAATCACTCACAGGTTTTCCATCGCAACAACCTTCTCTTCTCTTCTTTAAAAGTGTTCTTTAATAGATTTTTTTCTTTCTCTTTGTTCTTTAATGTTCTTTAATGCTCTTATAAGTATGTATGCATGTAGATGGACTTATGGTTGTTATTCTTTCTAAATTTACATGTTTAGATATAAAAATGCAATATGGCATGTGAAGATGTCATTCTCTACCATCTACAAACTCATATCAAGATAACAAGTAATCATATCCATGCATGCACTTCACTTTGACATTTCATCAAACAATTTGTATGTACACACAAACTCTATATTAGCTACACTTCTACATCTCTCTTAAGCCACCAAAATTTAGAGCAAAACTCCTTAAAATCAACATCAAACCTGGCCAGGAAATCACACTCCATAATTCTACTCAAACTCTTTCATAATGCATCCAACCTTCCACCAAACACCATATACACAAACACTACTTCTCATGGCTGAATTCTAGCCATCATTCAACATCAATTCCATCAACAAATCTCAACATATAAACACATACATACAGATATGAATTTCTCTTCACAGTTATTGTACAACCATAACTAGGGTTGGGTTTACTTACCTTAGATATGAGCAACCCAAACACTTTAGTCTCCTTTTGATACAACTCTCTTTCTCTTAAACCCTATGAACATAAATTATAAGAATTCAACACTTTAAAAAGTTAATCTCACATTTTAGTGCAAGAGTCTTACTTAGGGATGCTTAAGATTGAAATTCTACAAAAAATGAACCAAACTCTATGAATTTCCTTGGAAATTGATTAAAGAAATTTGAGAGAATTTGGGTGGAGAGTGGCGTGAATGAAAGGGAAAAGTGGCTAGGGTTTCATTCTTACATCCTTAATATAACATAATAATACTTATAGATTCTTATTTTACCCTTGCACTTTCTATAAAATTTCATCTATGTCCCTTAGTCAATTAAATTAATGTCCTCGTTTCTATTGTATTCTCCATGTAATTCTACTTCTTTTCACTCCCCACACTTTCAACTGATTATGGGTGGAATAACTATTTTGCCCTTAAGCAAGTTTTCCAGAATTTTCTCAAAAATTCCAGAGAGTTCTTTGCCCCGACGAAGACTGTATTTTCTACCACGAATTTGGGCAGAGAGTTTATTGTCGCAGCGACAAAACTCCTTTGTTGCGGCGAAGAGTGAAAATGTCAACTTCAATGCTTTCACCTTAGAATGAGTAATACAAAGGACATTTAAACATAAAAGAGAGTTACATACCTCGATGTGAGTGTTACATGGATAAGCCAATGATAGTGTTGGGAGGTAATCAATTGGATGTTGGGCTTGTAAGGGTCTGAATGTTACCCTTATAAAGGCCAATGATAATGATAAGAGATTGGGTAGTAATATGGATCGTGACACATGATTTCGTGGGTAAACAATATCACATATAATATCTTTTAGGTAGTAGACAACCTTTTAGTCCTTTTTTAACGTTTGGCGAGCACCTAGCTCATGACGTAAGGCATGTAAGAGATAATTTCGAAAAAAAATTAGGAGTGATCAAATTGAATTGCTGAAACTGAAGTGGTTGTAAAGTTTAAATCAAACATTAGGGATGACCTTAAAATTTGCCATTAGTCTTGTCGTGCCGTGTCGTAAGCCCGAAAGTTGGTAAGTAACAAGACGTATAGAAGCCCGGTATAATAGATCAAGAATCAATGGGCTGAGCCCGAACCCAGCTTTAAAAGTAACACCAGTGAGCAGTGTCGGCGATTAAAAACTTCCGGCCACAAACTAAGCAAAGTATCGAAAACTTTCAGATATTACAACCAACCACGAGGAAACGCAAGAGGCAAAACGACGAAGAACGACCGATGGGTGTAGATTATTACAAGATTCTCCAAGTAGACCGGAACGCCAAAGACGAAGATTTGAAGAAAGCATATCGCAAACTCGCCATGAAGTGGCATCCAGATAAGAACCCTACCAACAAGAAAGAAGCTGAAGCCAAATTTAAACAAATCTCTGAAGCTTATGATGTACAATTCCTCTCTGTTTGACTAAATGGTGTAGTATTTGTGTTTTTATATGTATATATTTATTCATTAATTGTTAATTCAGGTTTTGAGTGATCCGCAAAAAAGAGCGGTGTATGATCAGTACGGAGAGGAAGGTTTGAAGGGCCAGGTACCGCCACCTGGTGCGGGCGGGTTTTCGGGTGGGCCATCGACGACGTTTCGGTTCAATACGAGGAATCCCGAAGATATATTTTCCGAGTTTTTCGGGTTTTCAAGTCCGTTTGGAGGGATGGGTGACATGGGGGGTTCACGCGCCAGCGCTTCAGGGTTTCCGAGAGGTATGTTCGGCGATGATATTTTTGCCTCATTTAGAGGAGCAGCCGGCGAAGGCTCTACGAATGCGCCAAGAAAAGCCGCGGCTATAGAGCGAACATTGCCTTGTAGTTTGGAAGAATTGTATAAGGGAACAACCAAGAAGATGAAGATTTCTAGGGATGTTATTGATGCCTCTGGGTAAGCTCTTTTTTCTAAGTTTTAAATTAAACTTCAATTCTGATTTACTGTTTTGATTTTATGTGGTCTAGTTCATGACTTAGTTATATTCAAGGGTGAAAATTTAAGTTGAATCATACCCCTTAATCACATTGATATTATAGATAATGGACTTGATGAACATTGATCTGAAATTGTGGTTTAAAACTACTTGGTTTTTCTCAATTCGTTCTACCTGAGAAAAGTGGAATAGGTGGAGTGATCTTTTTTGGAAAAATTCTTATTTGCTTGCATGGCAATGGGGAATGGTGCGACTTTATAATGCGAGATATTATTTGATTCTTAGAAAGAAAATTGTAATTTGGCAGACTTTGTGGCTTCTTCAGGTGCTTTTTTGAGTTTTTTTGGATTTGGGGGGGTGGGGGGTGTGGGTACAATTACAGGTTATCAGTAGCTATTATCAAATTTCACTTAGCTTCTTCTCCTATGACATCCTAATTAAACAATTGATTCTTTTGTTGGAAAATCATACTGTATTAAGATAGTTATCTGCATACCCAGAAAGGCAATAAAAATTTCCTCTAATTGTGTAATTGCATAAGATTATTATTGATGAAATGTTATTCAACATATGAGTAATGGATGCTAATGATATTATTGGTTATAGTTGCTATGTCATTGAGCAATTTTTATTTTCATCTGTATCAATTACTCAACGACTGAAATACTGGAGTGGCTGTGATTTTTTTTCATGCATGTGTGTGCAATTATGCATCNTTTTTTTTTTTTTTTTTTAAAGTTTCCGTCTTTTAAGGAATTTTAACGAGTCATATTAATTAACTTTTATAATTTCTATCATAGAAATTCCAAATATTGAATAAGAACAGATAACCTCTTTTTATTTTTTTTAATTAGGTTTATATTGACTTAAATTTGTAATATTAGATCATGATGATTCAATTCTAATGGTTTTAGAAGTGGATGAATTGACATAAATAATAATAATCCAATAAAACCTCTCTATAATAATACTCCATATAAGAATAACCTCTTATTTGAACTAATTATAAATAAGAATAAATTTTATATTGTAATAAGTTATAGTTTTTCTAGATCCCGTCTTAGAGAACTTGTCTCTACATAATAACAATTGTATGGATAATATAAAAAAATATATGTTATATTACATTAAATGTTTAAGATGAAATAAAATATTTATATAAAGTTATTTGAGATAATGATTTATGTTTTTAAGAATTGTTACCGTATCTTTTATCTTACGGGTACATAATAAGTCGCCAATATGGATACCTTTTTATTAAAACCAAAATATTTTTAGCTCTTAAGCATGTTTGAAGCTTCTTGACACGAAACTTTTGGTATTTTCGTACTGTATTCATCCTTAGGATATCTCTTTCCTCTTCTTGTCTACTTCCAGTAATAATTTCTTCTTCAATTAAAGCATTAACGATTTATTGTTCATTTTGGATAATTAAGAAGTATTAATATCCATTTAATTAGTGTAATGAAATTGTCGAATCTGATTATTCAATTTTGTAATGACTCTTTGATATCTATTTCCATACTATCATAATGCCACTAAAACAATGAATTGAAATCCTAATACTATTAAAACATGAATTATAAAATAAGAAATCAAAACAATAATTTTTTAATTGACACAATAATTCTTATAAAACTATACCTCTATTAAGTTATAACCTCCTCATAATAATAAATTTAGTTGATCCTAACATTATCACTATGAAGAGGTTTTATGTACAATCAACATTTAAAGTTTAATTATAATATATAGTATTAAGGTCAAGGATTAAAATATTAATATTTAGCACTTTAAGTGAAAATATTATGTTGGTGTAATCTCATCAATTAAATTTTTTCATGAAAAATAAATATTATTTAAAAAGAAGTTTTTTTATCAATTAAAAAGCGATTGCAAAATGAGTATTATTTAAATTCTCAATGAAATGGTTCTACTAGTACTAGGTAAAAACTGAAAATAAAATTAAAACAATGTGTCCACTCTTAGTTTTACTAGGTACACTCCTAAGTCGATATTTAGAACGCTTCTGGTACAGCCAAGTGGTTTTCAAACTTGGAAGTAATAAAAAGTGAGTGTGTCAAATAGAAATTATAACCTTAGTAGCGTTAATCTAACACTCTGTTTCGCTATTTTCACGTCTACATGTGAATCTTCTTCTTCTTCTTCTTCTTCTTCTTCTTCGATACCGTCTCCATGTCTCTCCAATTCCAATTTCTCCAATAAAATCCAATTCATATCTCTATTTAAATCCAATCAACTTACTTAGATCTCTATTTTGCCATGGAAATGGCTTCGAGTCCGCGAACCGTCGAGGAGATCTTCAAAGATTATTGTTCCAGACGAGCTGGCGTTGTTCGTGCTTTAACTTACGGTAACTCCAATCTCTACTTTCTCTCTCTTAGGTTTTGTCTATCTTTAACTATGTTTGACGCGTGCCTTTATCTTCTTCCTTTGTAATTTTCTCAGATGTCGATGAATTCTACGGACTCTGTGATCCAGGTAACGTGCAATTGTAGATCGGAGTTGTCCTTCTTTGTTTAATTTTAATTTAATTTTTCTTCTTAGTTTTTATGCTATATTAGGTCAAATTTTGAATTTTTTTTTTTTTTAAAAGTTTGGAGCCAAGTTTGAATTTTTACATGCATTTTCCCTATATTTATTTTGCTGGTTTGAAAACAGAGATAATATTTACTTGAATTTCACGAAAATAATTTCCAGACTGAAGGAAGTTTGTTAAATCAGAGAACCGTCTTAAAGAGAAAATTACTAGTTACCAAATTTACTATACTGCTTTTTCATTTAAAAATTGGGGGTTTTGGTTTAGACAAGGAGAACCTGTGCCTCTACGGACATCCGAACGAGTCATGGGAAGTTACTCTGCCAGCTGAGGAAGTTCCACCGGAGCTTCCGGAGCCGGCACTTGGGATTAATTTTGCAAGAGATGGAATGAACCGCAAGGATTGGCTATCTCTCGTTGCGGTGCATACTGATTCGTGGTTGCTTTCTGTGGCTTTCTATCTTGGAGCTCGTCTTAACCGCAATGAAAGGTAAAATTTTGCCTGGCCTTTTTGCTGCATTTGAATTATCATTGTTTTTAACTTTCTGTAATCACTGATAGCTATTTGGTAGTGTTAACATTCCCTGGTAGCTTATAGTATCCTTGAATATTGGGGAGTTGGATTAAATTGTGTGGTTGATTTACATACTTTTGTGTCAGTTTGTAATGCCATTCGACTTGTTTTGTTGATATTCAGTGGTTTTTGGAAGATTTTGATTTGTGCAGTCTCAATTAAGGAAGATTGGAGTGAGTTTATTAACATGAGAAGGCTCTTCTATTGTTTTTTTTTTTTTCCTTTTTCGATTATGAGTATAACTTGATGTCAAGATTTTGTCATTCTACCTATTGATTAATAAGGCCTATTCTTTAATTTATTTGGCTAGTTTCTAATGTGATTTGTTTATGAAGCCTGTTGCCGGAAGTTGGGGAGATTACTTATATTAATTATGCCAATCTTCTTTTGTCGTTCGTTTTTTTTTTTCCCACTATTGGAGTCATCTTAGAACACACGTTAAGGCCTTTAACAAAGAAATTTTTTATTAATGGGTTACCACCGTTTACAAAATGCAATTTGATTCTGTAATAAGTCGTACCTTCCTGCACTTCTTCCCTTTGGCTGTGACATTTGTGATCTGACTAGAATATCACGTTTGGGCTACAAAAGAGGGAAAAGAAAAAGGCTTCACAGTAAGTCATACCAAAGAGTGAGCCTGAGTTCACTACATGACAGTTTATGGTTATATGCATATCATCTGTGATGACTGGTTGTGCTTTAGATGTGCCTCTTTCTGTTGAGTGATAAGTCCACACTAGACCATCGGAGAGGAAGAATTGCCTGTTCAACTTTATTGGTTTCTGGTGTAGTTGGCTGTGTGTTATGCATGTACTCTGATACATCTGTTTGCATTTTGCGAGTATATTGAATTGATTAGTGGAATTCTTATTTTATTTTCTATTAATTTTAGAGAATGGTATTGTTTAGTACTCATGTCAGTTCTACTTGACAGGAAACGTCTATTTAGCATGATCAATGATCTGCCCACTGTCTTTGAAGTTGTTACAGAAAGAAAGCCTATAAAAGATAAACCCAGTGTGGATAGTGGTAGCAAGTCTCGGGGCAGCACAAAGGTTTGAGGGATTGAACTTAGTTTAGAACTTAATTTTTATATCTCTGCAAGTTTTTCAGATTCAATCTAGTAATTTGCATTCTTTGTTTACCTTTTTCTGAGGCACACAACATAGTTGTGCTGTTCTGATGTTCTATAAGCAATTACTCATTGGAGATGATTGTTGATTTGAAAGGGAACCTAAGAGCTTGTGTGATTTATGATTAAATAATAATTTTCAAACCTAAGATCCAAAAATCTGTATTGTATTGCAGTAGTTTTATCTAAAAATGTCTTTAATATAACATTCAAAAAATTGCATCTCAGATTTTATAACTATGGAGAAAAAAGAAAGTTAGGAGCATCTTTCTAACTGAAAATTGTTAAAACATTAATTAAACGTTTGTTCTTAAAATTTCTTGTTTCCTTTGTTTTTAAAAATGAAGAATTGTATTTATAATTCTAAACCAGTTGGCCACGGAGTTCCATATATTGGCTTTCTGTAACAAAGTTAGAATTCTTACCCCCTTATTCTGGCTGTGGTAAATGTTTTCAACCATTTTATGCATCCTTATTTTTGTGTCCATTCGTTTGGTTCATCATCCATGCAGAGATCAAGTGATGGCCAAGTTAAAACCGTCCCTAAGCTTGCAGATGAGAGTTATGAGGATGAGGAAGATGAACACAGTGAAACCCTATGTGGGAGCTGTGGTGGAAATTACAATGCAGATGAGTTTTGGATTGGCTGTGACATCTGTGAGAGGTGGTTCCACGGAAAGTGTGTGAAGATAACACCTGCTAAGGCTGAGAATATAAAGCAGTACAAATGTCCAAGTTGCAGCATGAAGAGGGGCAGGCAGTAGTATCACTAAACTCAAGTTACAAGTGGAGGAAGGGGTTTGAACAGCGTTCTTTCAGTGGCTGACATAGTATAGAAAGGTCTCTTTCAAAAGTTAAAAAGTTATGTAATGAATTTGTTGTGATGTTTGTTTATAGCAGATGCTTTGTTAGGGCTTCCCTGCTGAATCCTTGCTTAAATGTTAACTTATATATAGTAGAAGTTGTTGTTTTATGACAATGCTTGAATAATATTTGCATGGTTGGTTTCTACTTTCTTCCATAAAGATTTTGTTGTAAGGGTGACTTTTGCGCTATGTGAAACTCTGGGAGAGCTTTAAGTCATTTGATGTTATCAACAGTTACCTAAATCAGGACCTCATTGCATGACAGAGCAGCGATATACAGAACATTTTTACTTGTCATGTTCAATCACTCTGCTCTTGACGGTCAATCATTATACTATAGTTTACTATATCAAAATAAAATGCCTCATAGTTAGAGGGTCATGGCCTGACTGAGTAGCTGGTTGGCCTAGCAATGTCTGTACTCTCTAAAACACAGTTTTTATCGACAAATTAGAATTGATTAGGGGGACAGTTGACAATGGCTAGATGCTCATTTTGGACACATCAGGCCTGGCATTTGATTTCCTGGAAAGCGAGAAGTAAAAACTAGGTGTTTGACTTTGACATGATTTGGAGTCTGGGAAAACTTGGTTAATTCCGACAATTAGCGACATAATTTGGCATCTAATCCTATAAAAACTTCTTAGTGCTCATCGCCCATGTTGTGTTTACAACTGTATTTGTCTTGGTTATTGGGTTGTCTTATAATCCTCTGAGCAAGCAAGCCATATTGCTCATGCAGTGCTTGAGCCTCTCTATCCCCTAATTCAATTCTGAAATGGGTTCCAGTCGCTCAGATGGCTCTGGTAAAGAACGCTTGCGCTGGACTCAAGAGCTTCATTATAGATTCGNTATTTTATTTTTCACGATTTTCTAAAGTTTTAATCTCCGAAAAATTATTAAAAAAGATCCGCTCGTCCGAATCGCTCCGTTCTTGTTGCGCTTCGTTCCTTGAATATTAAAACTTTAGTGGGTGGTTGCATGTGGTGATGGGCACTTTAGGCAGTGTCAGTGGTGGTAGAGGGAGTGTGGGCAGTGTTTGGTGGTGGGTAGTTTTTCGGCGCCATTGTTTGCAAATATCAACCAATGAAAAAGTTACATGCATAATAAGGATTTGCACAACTGCAACTTGAACCTTGACGTCGGAGTCAAAATCTAAGTAAAGCTCTGAACCACTTAGGCAACTCTATAGTTTTGGGATTACTCCTACCTTATTACACGTATCAGTTTTTTGTATTCCAAATAACTCTGATTATCCTAAAATTACATCCAATTCCATATTTGGATACGAGAGACATGGTTTTGCTTGTGGAATCGAAATTTTAATTTATTTCCTTAATGAAAAAATAACCTCCGAAAATTTGATTTTAAGAAAAAGCATATTTTTTACCTGAAAAACACATTTTTTGGGCTCGTCACAAGCCCCAAGCTCCTTTTGGAGCTTGCCCATCGTATTCTACATCTAAATCCGTGTGGTTTAAAAAAAAAAATCACCTCGATCGGATGCCGGATCGCAAAGTTATCGCCTTCTTCACTCTCCCTTACGCCTCTCACAAACTAACCAGTGTGCAGCACTCAAACTATAATTTCTCACACTTGAATCGGTACGTTCCTATTTAGATTGCTGCCTATATATGGTATGTATATATTTCCTTTCTAATTATTTATAACTTTTCCTATTTAGATTGCTTCTTCGTTTGGCTTCTCGAATTAAGAGTTGTTTAGCGAGAGGAGAAATGGATGCTATGCTTTGTTTATCACTTCCCATTAGGTGAAATCCTTTTCCTTTTATCTATTAGATCGCATACCTTTGAAAGTGGGTTATGCATACCTTTGAAACAATAATTTGTAATTATTTGGTGGTGCGACCATTTGGTGGTTTTCTTGTGTTGACAGTGAATGAAATATACGGTTTTCTTGTGTTGACAGTGAATGGAATCCTATTTTACATGAATGTAACAAAATAAGGAGACAGNTTGTTTTTCCAGTGTAGAAATTTATTTTAAGATCTTCTTTCGAGTGTAGTTTTATTTATGTATGTCTAACCAATGAAGAGAGGAGTTAGCACTGACAGATACAGGTTGGTTTGTTGTAGTTGATAAATAGTGGAACTCTTACCTATTTTAGTATAATACTCGTTGACTGTTTAATATTTTCTTTGCCTTTGACTGTGAGAGGCTCTTGATCAAAATCTGTATTTGATTTTGGTGGTTAATTTTGTTGATTTGGCAAAATGAATTTGGTGTGGCACAAGCTCAGATTCAGTATACGTTCTTCAATGGATATAATTTAAGTTCAGAATATTTTGGATCAAGGATTAATGTTTGGGATTATTTTTGAAACTTCATCTTATTTTTATGTATCCTAAATTTACGAGTAAATTGATTCTTCACAAATTGGTCCTAGGATAAGCTTGCTATGAACATTACTACTGAACATGGAAAAACACTAGAGGATGCACCCAATGATGTGCTGCATGGACTTGGTTAGTGCCTTTGTTTCTCTTCTAATACTTGAACAAATTTTCAGCTGATAATGTTGTGCTTTAAGAAGTGTTTGATTATACCTTGTACAGATGGTTGAAGGTCTAAAATTTTCTCTTCTCTTTACTGCTGCAAGATATTTTTGGCTTAGATGATACCTTAAAACACTTGGATTTTAGATTTCTCTTTCCCTTGACATTGATCTAATCTTCAACACGAGATTCTGCATTATTTCATTAAGCACTTATCTTGGAATGTTGGACTACAATTTTGCCATATTAGTGATATTACCCAGTATTAGGTCATGCTATTTGCCTTTCATTCATTGTAGTCTGCTGGTCCACATTTATATCTTTTTCCTTGAACCGTCACGAATACAATTCCTTTAGTTTCATAAAAAATAAAAAGAATAAAAACTTGGTCATGTTATCTGCCAAGGTGAACAGTAATGTTGTCTATCTCAAATTCTCAATGTCTGATCTGGTCACATCATGTGCTCTTTCAAGTCTTTATTTACTCCATCTTTCTCTTTAAAACTAAATTGAATATGTTTTCTTAAAAGAGATGGAAAAATATTCTACTAACAGTTCTGTTAATACGTTTATTGTTAATGCTGTTGACATACTTCTGTTAATGTAGGATCTGCCTTGGAGCAATATTCTCTATTGCATTGATTGGGGAGAAAATTACAAGCTTCCAGTAAAATTTTCAATTGCTGGTAGACGGTTCAAGTAACCTTGGATCCCCATGTAAATACTTCTGTTTATGGGTTATGTAAATCTTGCTTTTTAATGTTCAATGATTAGGTTTCAGCTACGTTAATTTTTATTAGCATTTATACCTTTCAGTTCATTGCAATATCATGGATTGAGTTTGCAATATTATAAGATTTCTAATAAAGTTTGAAAACTGATACAACTGTCTAAGGGCCAACTTTAGTTTAATTGGCAAGAACCATTTTTCTTTAAATTACAAACACCTATTTTACTGGATTATTGTTAATGCTGTTGACATACATCTGTTAATGTAGGATCTGCCTCGGAGCAATATTCTCTATTGCATTGATTGGGAAGAAAATTACAAGCTTCCAGTAAAATTTTCAGTTGCTCGTAGAGGGTTCAAGTAACCACTGAGCGTCAAAATTTTCAATTGCTGATGTTCTTTCCCTGCCGATATAAAGGGAAGTAATATCTGATACAAAAGCTTTTCTTGCGAAACTTATCTATCTTTTTATACATTAGTAGCTGCAGAAGTCCGTGGTTATTTATTCCTGAAGTATCTTATCCGATTTTTTTTTACGATTCCACGTCTTTTAGAGCGAAGTGTCAATGCTGTGGAGTTGCTGCCAGTCTTTGAGTTTTAGTTTCAAAGGCGCCCAAAAATTTGCTGCCAACCTTGGTGTGTATTGTGGCTTGCCTTCAACTTTTCACGTACCTGTTATTGTGAAATTTCAGAAAGCTTTTGCAACATAATTTTTTCTTTGACTATTTGGTTCATCCCAGTTGTTGAGTCTTATATGATAATTTCTTTATTACTTGCTCCAAAACACGAATTTTCCTATCAAAAAGCTGAACTCTTATGTGACTCATTTTTAAACTTCGCTGAACTCTTATGTGACTCATTTTTAAACTTCTATTTTTTATATTAAGTTAATTGCCTCATGCAATGTTTTTGGTTTTTTTAACGTGAATACCATATGTTGTTCATCTGTGAACATAGTTGATAATCCCGTGAATAGTAGGCTCACTTTGGATTTCTATATGTGAGAAATTTGACCATTGAATGTAAAAGTTAATATAAGTTCTAAAATTTTCCTCCTTTGTTATTCCGCAAGGCCAAATCTCTAGCGGAAATTTTTGCAATCTTGTGGCCCAATTTACTATTTCTTTTTACTTCAAAAAATGGTTCAAAGATGAGAGATCGGTAGGAAGATGAAGAATTAGCTAAATAGATATGTCCAGATTTGTTGTGGATGAGTGTAACACTATTTCATGAACAAAACTTTGCATTTATGTTGTTTTCTTTTTAATTATGAATAAGTTAGCCTAAGTTGGGCTGCTTGGAATTCACACTTCTGTCTTCACGATTTCAGGAGGAATTCATAGTAATAAGAGTAATAACTTGAATAGGCAAAGTTGTTACATAATTCACTCATTCATTCATTGTTTTCTTTTCCATTATTGTTTTCCATGATCCAAAACTATATAAACTATAATGTTAATAACAAAAAGCATCCTTTCATATGCATAAACTATGGTAGGATTCTATTTATCTGTTTCCTGAATTCTGTGTAAACATATGACTCAGTCCAAAGTTCTCTTTACCAAGACTTTTACTGAGTTTCAGCTGAAGATTCTGTATCGGCAGATTCATAAGACGAACCCAGACTTCACATTGACGGATGGATTGATGGTAACTTTTGATAATATTTGCTATAATAAGATTCTGTACCACCTTATGCTGTACAAATTTGTCAACCCATTTAATTATGTCAATTTATGTATGCTGTGTTATTCCAACCCACCTATTTGCATTTTATTTTAAGTTTCTTGTACAGTAATGTGTACTCTATCTGTGGGCCAGTTCTTTTTCAAATAATAGTTTTTTTATGATTTTTAAGATTCTTTCCATATGTACTTGAAACCTTAGTATAGATATCTATACCAAATGAATGAATACAATTTTGTTTGCACTTCACCATAATTCCGCTGGTACTATACTCTATTGCTGGAGTACAAGAATTTCTTTTTAAAGCTTATATCAACATCTAATTACTTCGTTGACATTAATCCTGTGCTTTATCTAGATTTTCGTCATTGTGCTGGAGAATTAAAAATTCGAGAAAGTAATTGTATCTTAGTACTTGAAATAAGATATCATCAGTAGTTTACCGCAAACTCAAATTTCTCCAGCTTTAAACAAATACATTGAATGTTTCATCTGAATTTGTTTTCCAATTTTTGTTTTAGGAATGGGTGTTGGGATTGAAATATGCTTTACAATATCGTATGTTTACAGGTATATTATCATTAATATTGTGTGTTTATAGGTCATTACTATCATTGAGTGCTACCGAAACGCGTCGAAACATGTATTGAAGATGCAAAAGAAATCTAAAAGTGATGTCAAATGCATCGGTCTTGTTCCTGGTATCGACACAGGTTTGCGTCGGCCATTTCTGTAGAACATACTGCAATCTAAAGCAATATTTTTTTTGTCATCAAAACTTGCATACTCTATAATTGTAAAATGTTCAGTATTTTTTATATTCTAGATCTATACTGGGTACCTTACAAATGCTTATAACATGTTCATTTCATTTGTCATTTCTCAAAGACAATATTTAATTGGTCCTGAATTTTTTGTATATATTATGAGGAGCTTTCATCTTGAGGCAAGTATACCACCCGTTCCCACTTTCCTGTACATGATATTGCAAACCAGGCATATCAATAGGAGTCTCACATGTTATGTGACTACAATGAATGTGGGCATAAATATTTTTTACATAAAAAGAACAGTTGTCAACTTACATTAGTTCTCACAAAAGCGTCGTCTCATCATTGCCCTCTTTTTTATTTGAAGACCTACAGTTTTTGGCACTCTTTGCATCGGGGCATAGACTGAAAAGTTCTGATACTATAATTTTACAACCCTAATCTTTACATTCTCTAAACAATTCTATAAAAGGCCCCAAAATCAAACAAACTACAACTTCTATGGCAATTAGGTTCTTGGTTTACATAAAATACTCACTAGCAAAATTCTCATTAGCTAACCAAACAGCAACGAATCACGACAATTTATATTTTTCCACCATACAACTTATGTCCCCAACCTAAATATACACATCTCACTAAAATTGCAAAATTTCACCTTTAATAATAAACTAAACTGGAGTAAGAAAACAACATAATAAATTTTGAGTGGTTGCAAGCTACCTGCATTCCTCATTCACATGGATAATCATGAAACACTATTCATTTTATGTACACATCTCAATCAGTTTTGAGTGGTTGTTAACTACAAATCATCTGGAAATTTACAAGTAAAGACCAATCTGGTTCCAAACATCACTTGAAGCTCCACCAATTCCATTATATGATTGCCTGGAATGAAGGCAAAACATCAAATAGAGAGGCTTCCAGTCTTTAACAAGAAGAGACACATCTTCTAAATCTCTTCAAAAGTTTGTAGTATTTTGGTACTTCCCAATACAAACCACAAGAAGAGACACATGATCGGATATCGAAACTGATGACTGGTATCAACAAATTGTGATTAACTAATAAGAGTTGGTTCAAGGTTCATCACTTTATCCCTTTTTTTAGTATTTAAATTGTATTCTGTTGACACTAATGTAATGTTAACAGTGTAAGTGTAAGAGCTATACATTCTTAAACCTCGAGGGTCCTTTGGCTCTTTAGTGAAGCACAGATTAAAGGAAATCTCAAGCAAATTTTTGATAAGTGCTAGGGCCAAAAATCGTCTTGGGCCTAACGAGGCCCAATAACGAAATAAACATGTCATGGCCTAAGGCCTCAGCCTAATCCCGATTGAGCCTATGCTTAAACTACCCACTCTATGAGTTTGCCTATCCTACAAGTTAAGCTGAACTGAGTTCTGGCCCATTAGCCTACAATAGTCCATAAATAGGAAATTAGAATCATATTCTATTTACCCTTCTACGGAGATTCTGAATCTTCCTCAAACTATTAAACTTAATTTGATAAAGGCAAGAAATCATATTTCTTTCCTGATATGGATTATCTCCTAAAATAGGACTCAGTGTCCTAATAGGATTCCAACCTCTTGGGTTCACTATATAAACAAAGGTCTCCCCTCTCATAAGGGGATGGATCTCCGATAATCAATCTACACTACTCAAAACTGTAACGCCCCACTTGAGGTACGTATTTAAGATTTACTGTATTACTTAACAGTTCATTGATTCAGTTTCAATTGAGTTTGTATGTTGTAGAGTCTTCTAGAATTTCCATTCTGTGGTTAAGAATCAATTTTACACACATATTCAAGTCTTAAGAACAGATAATGGTAGGGAGTACTTCCGTTCTAGCCTAGGAAACTATCTGCTTAGTCATGGAATGATACACCAAAGTTATTGTGTAGATACCCCATAGTAGAATGGTATTGCAGAAAGGAAAAATAGGCACCCTTTAGAGGTTGCCCAAGCACTTATGTTCACCAAGAACGCGCCTAATTATTTGTGGGGGGAGGCAGTCCTAACAGCAACTTATTTGATAAATTGATTGCCTACTAAGAATTTAGAGTTTCTTACTCTTCTCTCCACGTTTCTTCAGACATTTCCTGATTTTAGAGCCTTAAACTCTCCACCTTTGAAAGTCTTTGGGTGTACTACCTTTGTTCATGATCACTCTCATAACAGAGGCAAGTTAGATCCTAGGGCCATTAAGTGTGTGTTTGTAGGGTACTCTTCCACTCAACAAGGATATAAGTGTTACTACCTTCTAAGGAAGAAATTGTTTGTCGCTAAAGATATGACCTTTTTTAAGTCATAGCCTTATTTTCCCAACCCTTTCTTCAAAGGGAGAATTCACGGATTGATAATGAAGATAGTGTTTGGGAAATAACATTTCCCACGAGTCAGACTCCTACATCTACTCAAAATCCTACATCCACTCCAAGACCTCTTAATCAAAACTCACCTTTAACTCAAATCTAGCCTCTTACCAGTCCTAATTCCATCAGAATAAAAAATATTGAAAACCTTACAGTATAAGAGAATTTTGACACTTTGACTCAGGAACATGTGAAGATAGGGGGAGGTTCGACTAGGCTAGATCAACCAAACCTCAAATTTTATTCTTGAAAACATGGTTATCAAACAGTGAGAATCCTTCTGACGATCTGCATGGCCAGTCATCCTAACTGAAAGAAGTCAATGAATCACAACCTTCTGGTGAGAAAATTTTGCTTCCTAGTGAGTCTGAGTCAAATGTTGATCTTCCTGTAGCTCTTAAGAAAGTGGTTAGGTCTTGTACTCTACATCCTATTTCTCATTTTGTGTCCTATGGCAATCTATCTGCTGATTTTTGAGTATTTACTACTGTTCTCTCAACCATAGAGGTTCCTAAGTCAATACAGGAAGCATTGGATGATCCTAAATGGAGAGAAGCTATATGGGAATTGTTTGATGAAATGCCTAAGTGAAAAGCCTAAGTGAAAACTGCCCTGTCACAGCCGTGACTTTCTGAGTGATTTTTTGGCATCTTACAGATTGAACTGGGTTGAGATCAAAACATAAAACTTGTAGCTCTGTCTCTAAGATTTAAAACAAGACCAAAATTGTAGCAATCCGATATGTATAACTCAAGTTATGCCTTCTTGAGTGTAACCTGTGCAGAATGACTATCTTGATGCAACATTGCATTTGTGCATTTCATGAGTGCATTAATGAGCATGAATCATCCATATGCATTAATTATGCATTAGAGAAAGAGTATAAAAAGAGTACAGAACTTTGAGTGTGAACTTTATTAAGAGAAAAGAGAGAAAAAGAGAATAGAGTAGTTTGTGCGATAGGGAACCCGTGAGTAATGGGTAGAGTATTCCCGCATGTACGCCGCATTGAGAGAGCGGCATGAGTATGAGAGAGAGAAGCGGTGTAGCCCATGAGAGTGCATGCGGATGAGGGCTATACCCGAGAGTACCCGAGAGAGAGATTATATACTCACATGGCCAAGGGTTCCGAATCCATGCATAATCGAGTCCGATCGGCTAAGAACGAGTAGAAGTCACGGAGAGTGGGAGCGAGTCCCGGCCATGCCCCCGGTAAGATGGGGACGTGACTTACTAAAGAGTTATTAGAAAAGAGTTCTAAGAAAGAGAAACAGAGAGAGAGAAATAGAAAGAGAAAACAGAGAGAAGTATAAAAGAGAGAGTAAATGAGAATTGTAAGGAAAGACTTAGAGAGAGAGAGTTACGGGGATAGATGACTAGAGGGTTTACTTACTAAGCATTATTTGTGCTCACCCCGTTGACTTTTTATGTTATTGCAGGATTTAGGTGAGGACACGGTCAGATGGACATCGGCATGCGAGGAGGAATGGCTACACTGTCTACATAGTTTTTGATAGTTTTTGTATATGATACTAATTTTGTATAAAGAATGTATATGTTTAATAAAAGAAAATTTTGGGCCCAACTACTTATGTTATTATACATGTATTTTATTATGTACATTTTTATGAGTATTTGAGTAGGAAGTAGTTATTACATGAATCCTATTGAGCCAAATGCAAAGTTTGACCAAGACAGTGGAGATACACCAATTGAAAAAGGCAGGTATCAATGACTGGTTGGGAGGCTGATATACTTGCCTCATACAAGGTCTGATATAGCCTTCTCTGTAAGTGTGGTAAGCCAGCACATGCACAACCCACAAGAGAAGTATCTTGAAGCTGTAAATAGAATCTTAAGGTACTTGAAGGTGACACTTGGGAAATGACTGTTTTTTGAGAAAAATAATGAAATAAAGATGGAGACATTTGCGGATGCAGATTGGGCAGGTTCAGTGAGTGATAAAAGGTCAACTTCAGGGTGTTGTACTTTTGTTTGGGGAAATTTGGTGACTTAGACAAGCAAGAAGCAAACTGTGGTTGCAAGGAGTAGTGCAGAAGCTGAATTTCGAGCAATGGCACCAGGTATTTGTGAGCTGATATGGTTAAAAAGACTCTTGGCATAACTAGGAATCAAGAGTGAAGATCCTATGAAGCTCTTCTATGATAACAAGGCGGCGATTGGGATTGTGTATAATCCAATACATCATGATAAAACCAAACAATGTGGAGATTGATAGGCAATTTATTAAAGAGAAGATTGACGACAAGTTGTTATATGTTATCTATCTACCTACTAGCCAAAAGACTCTGGACATTCTTACAAAGGATTGTTTAGACAGTTTCAACAATCTATTTTCGAAGTTGGGAATGCCAAATATTTTCTCACTAGATTAATGGGGAGTTGTAGAAGTTCTTGATAAGCACAGTAAGGGTTTTTTAAACTTAGGATTTATCTTAATTTTATCTGTTTGAATAAAGGCATGATCCTAGACCTAAAAGTTATCAAGATATAATAATAAAGTCTATATAACTAGACTACTGTAACCTATGCTAAAGTAGAAAACAGTAATAAAAATTATCAGGTGTTTTCTTCCTAATTTCACATAACTGATTTATAATGCCCATAACTAAAAGCATGGAGGAATCCAATAAAGAACCAATGATTACATGAATCCACAAAAAAGAATTTAAAATTACATTGGTCAAGCATCAGCGGAAGCATGAAAAACTACAATGATACAACTGCATGTAAATTAAAAAGAATCAGCTTGGAAAGATTACTTATTCATAATCATCATTGAGATAACTCTTTCCCAATTACTTATCAATAATCATCATTTAGATAACTCTTTCCCAATTACTTATCAATAATCATCATTTAGATAACTCTTTCCCATCACAGATACTTCAAACAATTCTTCTGACAAAAAACACTTCAAGTCTATATCAAGGTTTATGATAGTAGAGCGAAAATTGTGGAAAATTAAAGAAATGCAGATATAACATTGATGTGCAGTGCTATTAGAGTATGTCATACAATTCAACATAATAAACATTCGTTTATCAAGAAGACCAAAAAAAGGTATATTAGTAACCTTACCACTAGTTTAGTTGTATCAAAAGCTTGCACTTCAACAAAGCTGCTACATGACAATCACAAAAAGGTCATCATTAAAATAAATATCAGAGTACTAACTACATTCAGAGGCTGCACCTTTTCAGAGACTACATCTTTTGAGCCCCAAGTTCAATAACAAACAACCTGTTTAGTGAGTCTTTGTTAAACCTAATCCAGAACCATTGTTTGGACTATCATCTGGCTCCAAATTACCTCCAATCCAGAAATTTAAGACAATGTCAAACCCTAAAAG